CATTCACCAATGCTTCGCCTGTAGTTGAGTTTGTAACTTTCCCATAGCTGGAGGCAATGTGATTTATACTCACACTAAAATAACACTGCAGTTTAAAACTGGTTCATTGACATAAGTCTTTGGGATCCTACTGTGTTGTGGAGTCACAATTATGACCTGCAATTATCCCTGTGACCCTAGAGGATACACACAGATTCAAACATCTTTATACTGAACATGGAAGTTGTTTCTTTCTTTATTAAAGTGTGGACTGAAAAGCTGTCTCAGCAGTTAAGAGTTTGCTCTGCTGAGGCGGAGGGACAGAGTTCAGTCCCCAGCATTAACTCGGGACAGCTCACAACCACCTGTGACTCCAGCTGCAGGAGACCTTTTACAACGTGGGCCCTCAGAGCACCGCATTCACATGCACAGGTCCCCACAAAAAACGTACATAATGAAAAGTAAGTTTTCTTTAAAATCCCAATAAGCAGACGTTATTCCTCACTTGTCTTCTCCTGGAGTGTTTGGGAAACAAGGCCAAGCGATTAAAAGTATAAGCAAACAGAACTGAGAGAAGGCTCTGTGGGCAAAAGTGCTTTCTCTGCAAGCATGAGGGCTTGAGTTCAAATCCCCAGACCCACAACACAATGGGAAGTGGGACCGGAGGCTTGTTGGGGCTTGGTGCCTGCTACACTAGCTCCAGGTTCATTCAGGGAGGAAACCTGTCTCAAGAGAGTGAGGCAGACAGTGATAGACTAGGACCCTGGCATTCGCCTCTGGCTTCCACAACTAACACATGTGCACACACATTCATAAATAAAACACATCCCAGAGTAAAACTGTATTTCTCTTCTTTCTATCGTGGGGGAAAATACTTTTTACAAATTAAACACTCAAACACTAACTTGATCTTCCTGCAGTGCAATCATGAAGAATGAGCATGCCCCTTCCGACCTCCTCTACCCTCCCCTATCCTCAAAACAAAAACAAAAACGAGTACTGAGTTCTGGAATATCTACAGATAGAACTGAGTCGCATAAATGAGCCTGGAGTTTCACTATCTCATACAAGATCAGGAAGTTTTTGGAATTCCTTTGACCAAATGAAACTTCAAAAATGCGACAGATGGAAATTAAACCTACTTGTCAAAAAAAAAATTCTCTGCCCATTTGCTTATTGCTATGCACAGGGTCATTCGGGCTGTTGTAGTCTAGCACAATTTGTGAATAAATCTCGTGCTGGACTGCTTCGGGGTCTGGTTTGCTTTTCGAAACAGTGGATCAGTAAACATCCTTGGCTGCAGCTCCCTATGTAGACCAGACTAGCCTTAAACTTCCAGAGATCCACTTGCCTCTGCCTCCCGAGTGCTGGGACTAAAGGCATGGGCCACCACACCCTGCTTGATGATTTAATTTTATGTTTTGATAATAAGGCTACTTAAACTCTTCAGCCCAATGCTGCAACTCCAGAAAGACAACCTCGAGGTCATCGAAAACAACTGCCCAATGAACAGGTGATGGAGTGTGCAGAGTTGTGCTTCTGTTTCTTCCAACTCTACTAACGTCTTGCATCTTGCTTGCTAACATTTATACTACTTTGAGGAGGGACAGTGTGAGACATGAGTCTCTCTTCTTAGACAAACTGACCTGGGATTTATTATGTAACCCACCAAACTCACTTCCTGCCTCCGCCTCCTGAATGCCAGGATTCGAGGTGTGAGCCACAATGCCTGGCTATGCTACTTTGTTGCCCTGAAATGCAGGTGAGAACTGGCTAATTTTCCAGCAATTCCTACACACAATTATTCCAACTAAGTAACTATTTAAAGACCAGCCCACCAGTTTTGACTATGACATATAAGCATTTAAAAATGTTAAGTACTTAGGTTTCCACTCTTTTTGGAAAAGCACAGCCATGCTAGACTTTAAATTCCATTTAGTATATGAATTCAAGGGCTGAGCCTGGGATCTAGCACTGTGGTAAATACTTGCCTCAAGCATGCACAATGCCCTGGGTTCAATAGCAAACACTAAAAATGTAGCCCTAAATCTTCCGGTTGTGAATAAAGAACACTTAACTTGGAGATTCAAACAGCAATGCAGGTCAGCTGAATGCCTCGGAGTCAAAAAGTTCTGTCTCACATTTAAGTTTAAAATAATTTAGAGAATATAAAATTCAAAACAGTTCTTGAATCACCTGCCACATTTCAACAGTCAGTTTGCATGTGCCTCCTGGCTGCAGTATGATAGTCTAGACAGAACATGTCTAGCCTGGAGAAACTCTACTGGACTGTGTTTGGATCTACTTGATCCTGATCTGTGACCTTAGATGCCCTTGTCTGCAAAATGTACATGTACTGCAACTTAAATCAAAATTCGAGAATTTTAGTCAAATAATGTATAAAGGGCTGAAACGGTGTTTATCTAAGAAGGAACAAACTGTAAGTGCATCTCGAACAGGCACGGTGCTTCATCCTCTCATCCCAGCACCAGGGGAGCCAAAGCAGGGCACGGCTCTGGGGGACCAGCCAGAACTACACCAAAGAAATCCTGTATTTTGTTCTATGATCTTAACTCTGAACCAGTCCCTTCCCTGCCCTGTGGATCATTCTCCTAAACTGAGAAGTTTGGGCAGTTTTAAGAGTTGAGCAGAAAGGGAATAAATGCCAGGGAAATAAACAGCTGGCCAGTTCCTAGTGCCCATCCTCAACATTCCTCCAGAAGCCCGCTCCATCCAGCCAATGCTCTAAAGACAGCTATTTTTAAGGGTCTTAAAAGATTACCAGTATGTCCTTCTGAAACTGTATATACTGTCTTCAGATACTGCAAGTCCCCACCCCAGGATCTCAAAATTTTAAGAGATCCTCAAGGAACACTATCTTGTCAAACAAATATTTTCCCTCATAAGCATTCAAACCAAAATGCTTAAAAAGCAGATGTGGTTTTAAAAACAATATTAGAACAGCAATTCCTTAAAAAAACAATTATCAATTAACTATGCTTCATTTTTTTAGCCAGGCCAGGATCTCAGCAAAAAAGAACTGCTGTTGAGAACTGTGCCATCCCGGCCAGAAGCATGCCCAGAGAGAGCCTCTACCCTCTTCAACAGCTGCTCCTAGGGAGCCAGGAAATTAACTGCAACCAGTCTTTACTGCATCCAGAGTCAGCCTCCGAAGAGGAGTGAAGCAACAGGCCCCCAAAAAGTCGCAAACCCAGGTCAGAGCTGCTGTGGACTCTGTGGCATCGCTCAAGTTCCACGAGTCCCAGGCTAACTTTGATGTGCAGGCGGCCCGGGGACTCAAATCCGAACAGAGCAGTGAATTTTTGCTCAAACCCTGAATTTTGTTTTGTTTCGTTGTTGTTGTTTTAAAAAGAATGTTATTCCAGAACGGATTCCTTTTCTTCCGGGTCTGTCTGTTCCTACTGACTCTCTGCCATAACCACGGTGCCTCCCCTTTCCCAATGCCCCACCTCTTGCCACATTTATAAAAAAAAGAAAAAAGAAAAAGAAAAGAAAGCGGCATATTCCTTCTCCCCTAGCTTTTCCTAGTAAGGCCTGGAAACTGGAGGAAATTCAAATCAAATTAGTTGCACATTAAAAAATAAACAGACAAGCATCAAGGGTGGCTACCCAACAAAGCCCTCACCAGTTCCAAAATATGATTAAGCCAGGGAGGGGAGAGGGGGAGGGGGACTAGTCGGGATGGAGATAAACGTGTGCATTTTTGGCCCCAGCGTCAGCCTCATAGCGGCCAAATTCTACATTTTGTTTAAAGAAAACGCTGGGCCTGCGAGAAAAGAAAATAAAAAGTTGTAACTTTTAAGGAAGTCTGCAATCGGCACTGTCTGGATAAAATGCCAGTGCTTCCTTAGTCTGGGATCGCCGGGTGGGAGCCGAGATTCGAAAAATCTCCAAGCCCAGCCACTCACTCAGGGAAGGCTCCCGGCCAGCGGCGCCGCCCGGCGGCCCAGCCAGGTCTCCCGGGACGACCGCAGAGTCCCCGGGGCTCCCGCGGCCCTGCGCTGGGGACGCTAGGCGGGCACGGCCCCGGGCCCCGCTTTCCGCGAGGAGTGACAGGCCCTTCCCACGGCAGCCCGTCCCTGCCTGCCATCCGAACCAGACGGTCCCCGCGGCCCGCCCAGCCCGCCCGCCGCCTCAGGGCGCGGATTCCACCCGCTCCGTCTCCCGGCCGCCCCACCCCCGACAGGGGCGCCCCTCGAGGCTGACCGACTGACCCGCGCTCCGCTGGCCCACACGCACCGGGTCGTCCTCTGCTTCCCGCCGCGCCCCGCTTCCCCGCCCGAGCCTGCAGCCGCCTGGCTCGCCGAGTCCAGCCGCGGCCGCCGGTTCCCGCCCCCAGCCCGGGGGGAGCCCAGGGGGCAGGACGGGGAGGGAGGACGTGGCGCGCAGAGGTGGCCAGCGGCGGGCGGGGAGTGTCCCCAAGAGGCCCTGGCGGGGGCGGGGGCGACCGGTCGTCCAGGGACCCTCCCGGGAAGCATCCCGGGTCCCGGGTCGCAGCCCGGCGCCCCCGAGGGGGCAGAGGCGTCCCCGACTCCCAGCTCCGCGCGCACTCACGCCCTCCTCCCTCCACCATATGGAAATCTACAGCCTCCCAAAGTGACACGTCGAAGATTCCTCGGCCTGGCCGCGCGCCCTCCCCCTCCCGGGCAGCGGTCCTGCCGCGGGGAACTGGGCGGGGGAGCGGATTCCTCCTCGGAGCGACGGGCCGGGGAGGAGGGGAGCTCCGCGTCCCGCATCCTCCGCTTTCTTCCACGGCGAGCGGGGGCGAGTGGGGGGCAGGCGGGGCCGCCCCCTACTCGGCCGTGAGCTTGAGGTAGCCGAGCGGTCGCGGGGCGACCGGGACTCCGCAGCCAAGTTTTCCTCGGGCATCCCGGAGCGCTCCGGGGCCGGCAGCGCACTCGGGCGGACTCGGTGTCCGGCCCGGGCTCCGAAGCGCGGGGACCCGAGAGCGACCGTGGGTGGCACGTCCCCAGGCAGCCCGCCGCTCCCGCACGCCTTACCTCCCCTCGGGCTGAAACGGGGCTCCAGGCGCCCGTCCCAGCCAGCCGTCCGCGGGATCCCCGCCGCCCCCTGCGCCGCTGCCGCCGCTCCCGCCGCTGCTCTCCGCCGCCTCCTCGGGCCGCCGCCGCTGCTCAAATAACTACCAGGAGGGTTTGATGGGGGATTCCGCCATGTCAATGATGTCGGGACCACATGGGGATTCGGGGCCCGCCCACTGCCGTAAGCCTCCGACTACACACGCAGTCACAACTGAAAGCTCACTGTAGCTTGGCCAGGCCTCCCTTTCCCCTAAGCCCGGACTACTCACCGGCTCAGTTTGGTTCCGCAGGATAGAGAAGTCTGAACTGAAGGGAGTTAGGAGACTCCAGAGGAGGTGCAGATGGCGGAAACATCACTATAAATGCAATCTTTGCTCAGTAATTTTTCAAGCTGACTTGTTAAGTTTCACCTAGAACACATCTTTCCTTTTTCATTTGTAATCCCTGGAGGAATCTTTCAGGGATTTGTACTCCTTAAATTTGCCACAGCATTCTGATCATGTAGCTAATAGCGTGGGCAAAATTGAAATGTCTATTTTCCCTTTCAGTACCAGCTATGAGCATTACTCTCTTTTGTTTGTTTTGTTCTGTTTTGTTTTGTTTTGTTTTTTGAGGCAGGGTTTCTCTGTGTAGCTTTGGAGCCTGTCCTGGAACTAGCTTTGTAGACCAGACTGGCCTTGAACTCACAGAGATCTGCCTGCCTCTGCCTCCCGCGTGCTAAGATTCTTTTTAGTTTTCAGTAATACTTAGTTTGGGCATACTTTATTTCTGTTGCATGAGCGAATGTGTGTGTGACTTCAGGTACACAGGCGCCATGGCTTCTGTGTGGGTGAGAAGCTTGAAACAGTTCTGTCCACCTCACATGGGACTGGGTATCCAACTCTGGATGTGAGGCTCACAGAGCAAGCGCCCTTACACGTTGTCTGACCGGCTCTGAAGACTGTTTCTTGTTGTTTATCTGGATTTTATGTGTCAAATGCAAAAGGACTCAATTAACTGCCGGCTGTGTATTAATCAAATATGCAATATATTCCTGTTTCATGGGCTCTATCAGGGAGCTGTGGCATCCCACTCCACAAATAAAAAGGGTGTCTGAAAGCAGGAATATTAACTCAGATATGCAACTCTCCTTATTACTTATGTATTCTGAATAACTCCATCCAGCATCTACTATTAAACTGTTCTACAATGACCAAAAAGGATCTATCATGATCTATCATGTTCATTAGCTTAAAATATAACAGTAAATATGACTTTATTAAAAATCCAAGGAAACAGCTCTTTCCCTGATGGAATTTGTAATTCTTTTTTATTTTTAAGATAATGAATATAATCAAGCTCAACCCTTTCATGCTAATGTCCCTGGAGGTTATGAAATCCATCGTTCAAAAATACAGTTCCAGTCCTAGACCTTGGCCCTATCTGGAAGAGAACCCTGCCTTAAAGGCAGTGGGTTCCTCGGTGCCCACAGAGCTCATTTCCAATGTTTCAGGCTCCGGCCATGCATTCTGCGTTCGGGTGAGTGCCTTCTCCCTCCTCCCCTAGCCATGCCTCACTTACCTTCCCTGGCTCCCAAAGACACTTCTGACCCTACATGTGCCTTCTTCCTCTTTGCCCAAGGTGATCTTACTCCTCACAGTTCCCACCCAAAGCTCTTGCCTTTACCCAGCCTCTAGTCCACAGTTCTTTCCTCCAAAATTATTTCCAGTTCTCATATTGCTCAGCAGTTGTTTATGTCTCTTCCACTTGGCTGAGTCATGTTCGTCTTCTCTGCATCGGCCTGGAACTGTCCTTTGACTATAGAGCCCCCCCTTTGTTTGTTCAATATATTGATTATAAAGTGTGTGGGAGAATTTGAAGGACGAGATAAATGAACAAACTTCAGAGGGAGAAAGGTTAAATCCAGGAATTAAAGGACAAGCTTGGCAAAGAAGGTCAAAGTAGACGAGAAAAATTAAGAGAACAGACCTAGTTCTGCCTATTTCTTCCAACAGACTGACTGGATTTCTCTTTATTAAGAAGGGTCAACACACCAGGTGCGGTGACACCTCCCTAAAAACCACAGCCCTCTGCAGGCTCAGTCCAAGGCCAGCCAGAGATAAGGACTTGTCTTAAATCCTGCCTCTCCCAAGAATCAGTGTACAATGATGCACAAACCTAACAGGCATGTCCACAGGTGTGCTCTCGGTGCTTAGCCTTCTTCTTAGCCCAGCCTCTGAAACAGGTTTAACACTGGAAAAGAAACATAGTAGACACTCGCAAACTGTAGCAAACAGTGAATAAGGAAAAGCAGGGTCGTCATAGCCACAGGCAAGTTACCAAAATCCCCTACGCCTGAATTTCCTGTTGAAATTGTGCCATTGTTTCCTCCTAAAATCATAACCTTCAGTACCTGATACTCAACAAATAAATATTAATTCCTCTTTGAATGAGCGAGCAAATGAATGGAAGAGTGAATGAAACTGTCTCTCTGAGAGGTATTAACAAGACAGAAAATTGGAAGCTTCAAAGAAAAAGAGGGACTTTTGATCACGGGCTCCTGACCACCGAGGACTTAGCTTTCATACAGTGGGAAACATTGGGATTACTGAGGCATGAACTGATTGAAATAGGTTTCAAGGTTGATTGTTTTCACAGCAGGATAGAGAACAAAGCTTGAGTCAGAGACATATTCTGAACGTACTTGGGAAATGATGAAGACTGGGCCCCGAGTCATGTTTCTAGAAATGGAAAGAGGGGCCTCAATCTAGAGTGATGATATCCACTACCCCATGTCAGCAACCTGAGCCACCAGCCCTGCATCCCAAGTCATGAAACCATGCTGACAGGTAAGACTCTACTCCCAAAGAGTTTAGGTTTTATTTAAATCAAATAAATAACATCTGAATGAAGATGCTATGAAATTAAAATAATCGCACGAGCCTCATAACACAAACCTGGCAGTGGTGGATCAGACCTTTCATTCCAGCATAGGCAGGTGGATCTCTGTGAGTTCGAGATTACCCTGGTCTACACATGGAAATCCAGAACAGCAGAGCTGTTACACAGAGAAACACTGTCTTGAGAAAAGAAAAAAAAATAGATAATACAGTATAGAGATTGCAAAACATTCTGTCACTCGTGGAGTGTGTAGGTTACCTCAAAGCTAAAGAATGCAAAGTTAGACTTCCCTGAACTCGATTTACATTGTAACAAAAGGAGGCAACACTATCATACCGGGAAACACGGAAACATGAAGCCTGAACCCTCGTAGTCAATCCGGTTTGGACTTGAGAGGCTTTCGAAGGTGGAGGTGGCTAATGTTCACAACTTCTCCAAGCCCCAACTGCTGCCCAGCCTCAGCATCCTTCCTCCCAGGGTCGCTGAGGCTACAGCATAGGCAGGCTCAGGCTTGCTCTCATTTTTGAAACCTAATCTTAGCTTTATATGTTAAGATGTTAACTCTTTCTACATACAAGTTATTCTTGTTTGTTTGTTTTGTTTTGTTTTGTTTTTTCAAAATAGGGTTTCTTTGTAGTTTTGGAGCCTGTACTGGAAACTAGCTCTTGTAGACCAGGCTGGCCTCGAACTCAGAGATCCTTCTGTCTCTGCCTTCCTAGTGCTGGGATTAAAAGTGTGTGCTACCACCTCCCGGCTTTTTTGTTTGTTTGTTTGTTTACAATTTATTCTTATGTTCAAAGACAGACCTGGAGTCAGCGTTTGGATGAATGATGACAAAAGCCAATCACTCCTTTCTGAAGACCATTCAGAATTTACTAGACTACTACTAAAGGACAGTCAATTGTGTTCACAGTATAATATAAAGGAGCACAGCAACTTCAGTGAAACAGATTCTTCCAGAACAATTTAGCTAGATAAAGCTGTGGTTCTGTCTTCTTTACTATTGCCCAAGGCAAAATATGAACAAATATTAGACAAATGTTAAAGAGAGAGAGAGGAGGAGGAGGCGAAGAAGAAGAAGAAGAAGAAGAAGAAGAAGAAGAAGAAGAAGAAGAAGAAGAAGAAGAAGAAGAAGAAGAAGAAGAAGAAAAAGAAAAAGAAGAAGAAGACCATCTCCAATGAGATCTGCGCCGCAGTTACCAAGATAAAGAAAGAATGGTTGTCAGTTCTCATGATTTTGAGCCCCGGGGTTGGCTCCCATGCAGGTTGGAGATGACTCCAAGTGTCATGCCTCAGGAGCTATCCATATTGTTTCAGGACAGGTTCTCTCATTGGCCCAGAACCTTCCAAGTAGGCCAGACTGGCAGGCTGTTAAGACCTAGGGAGCCTCCTGTTTCTCCCTTCCCTGAACTAGGGTCACACGTGTATGGCATCACTTGCAGCTCTCAGTGTGGGCACTAGGAATCAAACCCAGGTTTGTATACACAGTGAGGGCTTTACCCAAATGCGGTGTCTCCCCAGCTCTCGGGTCTTACTCTGTCTCTCAAAGCAGCATCCCTCCATCCACACCCTGAAAACTGAAAAGCCAAACTTAGACCGAAGACCACCAAAGAAACGGAGAGTGCTTCTTGTGAAGGCAACCCTCAGCCTCAGCTCCAGCTCCAAACCAAGGCTTTGGAACCTGCGTCTTTGCAGCACTCCCCCTGCCTCTGCCCTCGGGAAACAGACACACCAACAATACTCACCTTTCACGCACCTGCCATTATTCCCTGAAGAGTATATTTAAATGTCTGTGGCACACGGAAGTCTTCAAGGATGTCCTACCACTTCTGGGGACCCGGTTGTTCATCTCTGAAAGCGAGGTGTCTGCTTTCTGTTCTTAGTGTTTCAGGCATGACCAGAATATAACCCCAAACAGTGGTTCTTGTTCTGGCTCCAGTTTGGTCAAAATATGATAGTAACGTTGTTACTAAATTTCTCATGCTATTAACTCAAGCTTTTGTGCCTCAGAAACACGTCAAGATGCACACTGCCTAGTCAACTGATAAAATCTTAATATTCGCTTGTTAATTGATGGGATACTTAATTTTATTAAATTTTATTTCTGCTACAGCCTCCCATTTCAGCTAATTAAGACTTTTGGAACCCAGCCACATCACGGTTAGTGTTAGCTGTCAGCCTGACAGACTCACCAGAGAGAAAGAGGGCCTTCTGGGCACAGCTGGGGGTGATCACCCTGCATTTGTTAATTGACCTGGGAAGATCCATCTTAACT